AAGATTTTACCCCCTTTACACTCACCTCGAAACGATGACTCCTCGATTCCTTCCTTGAAGAAACCCCTCCTTAGCCGGATTGTCTTGGGGAAATCTATTAATAAAAATTCATTTTCTTAGACGACTTTTCTCAATTTAAAACCCCTTTTTATTTACCCAGACACCCTCTCCTGAAAGTCTCATCCTCAAACCTCACTCCAAAGATCCCTTAACCTCCTTTAACAATTTTTCTAGAGATAATCCATACAAAACCGACCATTTTTCTAATTAATTTCGTTTTGGACGAATTTTTCACTTACTTGAACCTTCTTAAAAAATTTGGAGCATAATTTTTCCACGTCAATAATGGGAAGTACAAGTACCATGGAAAATTATCAAACCCCTGAAAATCCCTCGGCAAGAATTTTTTTAATTAAAATGAACATTCAACCAATTTCTAAAAATAGTAATAATTCTTCAAAAATTCCTAAATTAAATTACAGTCATCTCCTAGACCTCCCTCAATTTATAAAATTGTTAAAACTAGAAATAAACACCCACAGATGTTTGAAATAATTAAAACATCCAAAAACACATTCTTGGAAATTCCCAACAGCTTTAGTGACACCCAAAATCTGTCACTAAAATCCTATAAAGTCTGTTGCTAAAAATCCAGAATTGCAACCTCACGAAAAATTCGCAGATTAATCGACCTAACTCGAAGGGAGCGAGTTCCCTTACATCTAGAATGTGCCTAGGACTAGATTGGATGGCCCGGGACGTTGATCTCCTCGTTGATCGAACCCTCAAATGTCACCGCTAATAAAATGAAAGCTTCGTATTAGACTATCAATGAATCGAATTTAAAAATCACGAATGGGTTCGTTATCCTTACCTAGTAACACGAAGGGATGGAATCGGGGTCGGGAAATCGGGGTCGGGAACAGGGCCGCGCTCACTCTTTTCTTTATTCCTCACGCTCGGTTGGCCGAACAAACAATTCAGGGCGGCGGGGAGTCTCTCGGCTGGGGAAACAGTTAATTGGGGAGGGTTTTGCTGCTGGGGGCGCCTCCTCCCTTTTGATATATACATGTATTTTTTTTATTAACAATAATAGAAGAGGTTTTGGGAGTTGTGGCCGCTCGGCCCTCCTCCATCCCTTTTTTTCATAATAATAATAATTATTATTATTATTCATAATCCGCGGTTGCAACCCTTAGTACGTAACCATTAATTCAACCGTTCACGTATTAAAGTCGAACCTAACCCAAAGATCGGAGTGTTACATTATTTATGGTCGACCCTATCATTATTTACGGTCGAACCGAAATCTAAAATACCGGGGTGTAACAGAAATCCCCGCTGATGTCCAGATATGCCTCCTTGATTCGGGTCTAAATGCACACATTTTACCCCTAATTTCTTGAGAGTTGGACTTTGCATTTCATTGTCTCTTGACCTATTTTACGCTCAGTTGTGCTTGTTTTGTCATATTTCAGGTCCTAGCACGTGTAGAAGGGTCGAGGACGAGTTTTAGGATGATTGGAGTCGAAACGTGCCAAAAAGTGAAGAAAAGTGATCGTGACAATTGCCCCAAGACCGTGCAGCGCGGAGGTTCAAGAACAGTTTGCCATTGCACTTGAGCCCAGCCACTTCACGGTCGCAAGACTGTGAACTCCAGCCCCAAACCGTGAAGTGACTTAGTGAAACGGTGTGAATCTGCTTGACTTCACGGTCCAGGTCAAATATTCACGGTCGTGAACTAGGACCGTGAACAGGCGTCGATCTGGGTATAAAAGGGGAAGTGAGCTAAAGGAAAAGGGGGAGAACTTTTGGTAGAGTTTTAGTTTTCAGAATAAAGGAGGGTTTCTAGTGAGAGATTAAGGTTTCCTCTTCCTATTCTAGAGAGAGAAAGTGACATTCATAGGAGGAAGAAGGAGATTCGGGCTTGCCCTAAGCTAGAGGATTGAAGGTTTCTTCTTCTCAAGGAAGATTGTCATCTCTTCATGGTTCTTTCTCTCCTTTTTGTTGATTTCCTTTGCCTAGCTATGGAATAGCCTACCTCTTCACTTGGGTGTTGTAAACCCCAGCTTGAAATAGGTGATAGATTGTAAGGATTGAATGCTATGTGTGTGGGTTTGTGTTTAATGCAAAGTTTGAGGTATTTTCATGATACTTGGGTTGTGTTCTTCATTTCTCATTACTATGCCAATTTGACCTAGGTAGAGAGAATTTCTCATTTTTATTAAGAGGCTTTGTTGAGCTGGATTCCTTGGCCGGTTGAGTCACCTACCTAGGGCAAATTAGGGAAAATCTCAAACTTTTGATTTAGCACTATAACTTTGGTGTTACTTTTCCGCCCAAATTAAGTTTGGAGGGATTGGTTTTGTAACCTTGGTTTTATCGGTTAAGAGAGCTAGGACTCTTGGCTTATTGCTGCAATCCTTAGCCTAAAGGTTAAGAGAGCTAATGTTTATTATAGCAATCCTTAATCCATTGATTGAGAGAGCTAATGTTCCTAGTTTAATTGTTTTCCTTAACCGATTTATTAAGAGATTGAGGTTTCCTTCACTTGTTGCGCCTTCCTACGGTGTATTAACATACCTCCACACATTTGCATTCGATTTGGGCGATCTTGATATGTAGTTAGGGGGAGCAATACTCGGGTGAACTCTTCTCTCATTGGGACAACCTCAATTTCTTTACTTGCTTGTTTTCATTTGTAGTTTTCTTAGTTTCCTTCACTTGTTGCGCCTTCCTAAGGTGTACACATCCACACATTTGCATTCGATTTGAGCGATCTTGATATGTAGCTAGGGGGAGCAATACCCGGGTGAACTCTTCTCTCTTTGGGACAACCTCGATTTACTTTACTTGCGTGTTTTCATTTGTAGTTTTCTTAGTTTTAAACCCAAAAACGTTTGCTAGATAACAAACTAAGCGAGTGAAGTAGGAGTACATGGACCGGCCCAAATTTGACAATTAAAACGAGCACTTCTACTATGCTATAAAGTATTGGTGCTTTAATGTACAACTTAAAGTTGTAACATAATGTTAAATGTATAAGTTCAAGTTGTACCATAAAGAAATTTTTACTATTATGTTATGCTACAACTTTACAACTTGAAGTTGTACCATCATATAAAGGTACAAGTTCAAGTTGTACCATAAAAGAATTTGTACAAAAAGTATAGGTACAATATGAAGTTATACCATAACATTAAAGGTACAATTTTAAGTTGTACCATAAAGGCAAAACCTTATAGCACCAATGCTATATAGCATTGTAAAATTCCTCCAATTTAAACATGTTTTTCCTATACTGCACCCAGCTAGAGTTTATACTTGGGCTCTAGTCGGGATTTAATTCTCGGTGTAGTCCGTGGCGAGTCACTCCTCCTCCACCACCGTAACGATGCTCGGTCGTAGCTGCTTAAACCTCGAAACCACATACTCCCAACGGCTAGCAGAATATAAGGGTTCTTCGAAACTCTGAATCCCAGAGAAGCAAAGAAGCACCAAAATCCCTAGGAGGCGAAAGTTGGAGATGCGGGCTTCATAGGGGTCTGAGGAGGAGGTAGAATTGTAATATGGGCTCGGAGGAAAGTATTCGGGACAATATTCAAAGGGGTTCGAGAAGGAGGTGGAATCGAAATCTAGGAGCGGAGGAGAGGAATCGGGATCGGTCAAGGACTCAGAGTTACCGTCGATGGTGAATCCATCGAGGAGGCAAATCGCCAGTGTTTGGAGGTGAGAGGATTAAAAAAAATAGTTTCCTTTTCGATTTTAGGCTAAATTTGAATTTTTTTAATTTTTGTAAATTGATTTTTTTTTAATTAAGTTAATGCTGACCGGGCAGTGAAGTGGTGGGTTGACCGTTCAAGGTAACGATCAAATCTCGAGTTTGGCCAATTTCATAACTTTGATGCATAGTTGAGGCCACAAAGTTATAAATCGAAAAAATTGACTATGATGTTTAATATGTGAAAAGTTCGAGTCATACAAATATATTAACCCTTTTAACTTAAAAAAAAAGTGGGTTTGCTCCAAGAGCAAATGTCAAAGTGCTAGTTCTCTTCTCTCGACTATAGTTTTCTCATAATCTAGTTTACTATAGGTTCATCATTTTATTTACTTAATGTGCTCATTATTTTTATGTAAGTAGTAATAAATAGTTAAAAAGAATATTTCAATGTAATTTATTGGACATAAAAAAGTTATCATTAAATATGATGTTGCATTTCATTACCTACATTGATGGAGAATGATTTCATCGAGAACTCAAGACCCCGTTAGTACGTGAAATCCCTCATCCTTTAGAGGTAAATACAACTTCATCTTGCCTTCAAAATTCAATCATGAATTGATAATGGCTGACGAAACCACCCTCTAAAATTTCAATACAAGCTTTTGATAGAACTTCATCAGCAGGCTTCACCCATTTAGGTAGCGATTAGCTAAAGACATGATAAGGAATTTGGGAAGAATAGAAGTGTTCATAGATTGAAAGAAGATGAGTTTTCTTTGTCATGAGAAAGAGAGAGAAAAATTGGAACTGGTGAAGGATAAGTGAAAAAATGGGTGCGTCTATTTCTTCTTAATATAGAATTCAAACATTTCCGTGCACAAAATCATATTAATCATACTTTTTCAAAATGACATCCATTTTAATATATTATGAGCTAAAGAAAAATAGAATGTTAATTTATACATATCTTAACATTTTATATCATATTGTATAAGGCTTAATTGCAAGTTTGGTCACTCGAATTGCTATAAAATTTCAGGTTTGCCACTCAAATTAATTTATTCCATTTATAGTCACTCGAATTAGTTGAACAGTTCAAGTTCGGTCACTCTCCGTTAACTTTGACTGACGTGGCGGTCAACTCTGACAGTTGACCGTTAAATGTGTGACGTGGCAAATAAAAAATAATTAAAAAATAAAAATTAAATTTTTAGAAATTACACATCATCATCACAAAAAATTATAATTATAAAAAACTCGCCGCCATAGAATGGCAGACTAAACAACTTTCTTGCCCAGGAAGTAATGAGCTCCTCCAAACCCCTGCCCAAGAAATCAGACGCATAGAAATTGAGAGATAACAGAATACGAACCTGGAGAAGAGCCGCCGCCGTTGCCGCCGCATTCGTATTCCAATTCTCATAGTAAGCGTCGCCGAGCATGGTGATTATCAGTACATGGGAAGATAAGCTAGTAGAAACAAACCAACAAGAGAAGAACCTCGGGAGATGGAGGACGTGGTTCGAATCGGATGTAGAAGAGTGTTTTGAGTGTGGAAAGAAGGGATTTCAAAATCGGAATTCACAAAGAGAGGGGAATCAGTGAGGAATAAGGATTTACAGGAGCAAGCAGAGAGTTCATTTTCTGGATGAAACGGCTAATCGAGCTGGGCAGGTTGGAACTTTTATAATACGAAACCCAGTTTGGCGGTTTTGGAAGGGAGGGGAAGAGAGGAGCCAACAAGTTTTTTGGCCGCTGTTATAATCCAAACAGTTCCTTCCTGTGTCTCTCAGCTTCGATTTGACCATCTCCAATCGCGCCACACGCAGCAGCTTTCTCGCGTCATCGACAGTCAGCCCGTCCGTCGTCGTTGTGGTCTTCGCCAGTGACTCCGATTCCGACTCCTCAACCACAGCGGAGGAGGGACGAGCCCGTCCAATCGGACCCGGTCTCAGACAATGTCGAACGCCCTGAGCTTCTCCATCAGGCTGCCCCCCGCGCCGACCTGGAACGGCTTCGCCGACGGACCCTCCGCCGTCGCCACGGCCCTGCAGTGGAACAAGCGGCGGAATCCGGTATTGTCTCCGGGATCGGGAGCAATGCCGGGCTTGCTCTGAGGTATCCGGCTGCGGACAGTGGCGGAGGACGAGATCCGGCAGTTGGTGAGCGACTGGGTGGTCGAGATTCATTTTTAGAAATTACACCTTCATTTTTTATAATTATAATTTTTTGTGATAATGATGTGTAATTTCTAAAAATTTAATTTTTATTTTTTAATTATTTTTTATTTGCCACGTCACACATTTAACGGTCAACTGTTAGAGTTGACCGCCATGTCAGTCAAAGTTAACGGAGGTTAACGGAGAGTGACCGAACTTGAACTGTTCAACTAATTCGAGTGACTATAAATGGAATAATTTAATTTGAGTGGCAAACGTGAAATTTTATAGCAATTCGAGTGACCAAACTTGCAATTAAGCCTATTGTATAATGATGATATCCATGATAGTTTGAATATACTAACCACCATCTACCAACGTGCAAAACCAATTACCACCATCTACTATTGTGGTAGGGGGTGATATATTTGGTCCCGAAAATTGTTCCAAAAAATATATGATGATTGACATTATTTTGCATATCACAATGAACTCGTTCCTTATGTGTAAAGACTTTTAAAATTCAAATTAAAACGAACGAAGGTGACGGATCATCTGCTAATTGTAGAAATAAAGATTGGTAATGCAAAAATATTTCATCGAAAACATATTTTTTACACCTAAAATATTTTTGGCCTAAATTAAATGCCGTAATAATGAGTCTCGGCATTTAATTCGATATCGCATGGCCAAAACGATGTCATTTGGAGTCGAGCAATACCGCGGAGAATTTAAGCGAGACCGCGAAGAGGCTCGGCGGTACCGCGGTATTTGAAACGACATTGGTTGCAGACCATGTGTGAGTCATGCGCAGGACATGTGTTGCTGTTGGACAATGAATGTTTTTATTTTATTTTTCCTTGTCGGAGGAGGAGAATAACAACACCGTTTGGAGTCGAGCAATGTTGCGAAGAGATAGAACGGTACCGTGAACCTCAAAGTTCAACGGCATCGCGAGACTGGGAGACGGTGTCATTTAGCTAAAAATGGCACCGCGACAAGCGGTATCGCGGTGAGTTGAAAACGATACCGCGAAACAGAAAAACGGTACCGCAAGAAAGCTCACCGGTACCGCGGCACTGGAAACGACACTGTTTACCAGAAAACAGGATGGGGCCGCGCGCGTAGTATTGGTGTTGGAAAAGGAGTTATTATTATTATCATTATTTTTATTCCTCGTCGGAAGGGGAGAAGCGGTACCGCATGGAGACAAGCGGCATCGCGGAGAATTAAAACGGTACCGAGGATGTAAAAACGATGCCGCGGGAGGCCTTGATAAGCGGTGCCGATTAAATAGAAAAAAATCATATCGGGTAAGTGAAGGGCCTAAATCCCGCCCAGCCCAATGCGAGTGAAACTTCTTGGCGGTTCAATGAATTGGAATTTTTTGGCTATGTTAGCGGTGTCGTTTAATTAAAAACGGTACCGCGAGTAAGCCCAACGGTACCGTTGTATTAGCAAACGACAATGTTTAATATAAAACAATGTCGTGGAGTAAAAAGCAAACAAAGCTGTTTGGGGAAGAAAACGACATCGCGTGAGATTCACACCAACCCGAGCGAGGAGGAGATCAAGACGGTTGAGAAACATGGGAGTTCACAACGGAACGGTTGAGGAAGCAGTTCCACAGGGCGTGAAGACTACGCAAGTGATTTCAAATAAAAGCAGCGGAGCAAGGAGAGAGAGGGGACAACCAAAAATCAACACAGATCAACTCTGTTCAAACTTTACCTTTTCTCTGTAACTCCTTCGCGGAGCTCTCCTTCCAGGAAGGATCTCCATAGTTGTAGTCTTAGTCGTAGTCGCGGAGCTCTCCACAGGAATCTCCATAGGAGTAGCGGTAGCGTAGACTCCTCAAAACTCAAACACCCTCGTTCGAACGTAGTTTGGAGAGGTGCGAACCGTAGTACGGTCGTTCTTGGTTAGAAGTCAAAGGTGCATCGATCAAATCAACACCGCCCGACGGTGGATATTTGACGGTCACGTTGATTTCACCATTTAGAGGTGCATCGATCAAATCAACGGCGCCGACATTCGACGACGGATATTTGACGGTCGTCTTGATTTCAGCAATCAGCGGTGCATTCGATCAAACGGCACCGCAAGAGTTTCCACCGCGAAACATCAAATCAACATCGTCGGAAACGAATTCGGCACCGGCGGTGGCATTTGGTTTTTCTCGGGAAACACATATATAATTTTTTAGATTTTGATGATCGTTCCTTTTGTGAAAAAAAATTCAAAACCCGAGCAAAAGTAAAGATGATACAAGTCGTTTAAAAACAAAAATTAAAAGGGTTAATACCCTAGTTTGGCCCGAAGTTTAGCGTTAGTGACAGTTCTGGCCCCATTTTTCAAATAAGACATTTGTGGCCTACTTTAGAAATTATTGGACAAATTTGGCCCGAGAGACGGTTTGACTGTCAGAATTAACGGTCAACTATTTTCCCATCACTGACTCAGCATTTGCCACTGACTGGGCTTGTCCACATCATTTACAAATAAAATAAAATAAAACAAATAATAATAACAAATGAAAAAACTGAATTACAGAGAAGGGGTCACGTGGACCACTAGCTCTTCCCCTTATTCACTCCATCGTTTCTCCTTCCCCCAGTCGTTCCCGAGCGGCCGACGATTCTTCCGCCTCTCCTTCTTCTTCGCCAGCTCCAATCATCACCGCCCTCCCCTTGGGGTCAACCGCCAAGTACTGACCAGGAACTATCCTCCTGCATTTGGACTTCCCAAATGTCTCCGGGTGAACTTTATCAAACACACTCTTCTCCTTGTTGTACTTCAAAATCACAATCCTCCCGGAATCATAACCAACGACGATTTAATCCTTCTGAGATCCAGTAAGTTTGAATTGAGCGAAAGAGCAAATAGCACCGAATATTTCGATGAAAAGAATGATTTGGAGCCTACCGGTGTCGTCGGGACGGAGGAGATCGAGAAGCTTTCCACGCGCAACGACGATCTCTTGGAACTTCCTGCCAGAGAAGCTTTCGTTAATGGCGGCCACCACACCGATGGGTCGCTGAGGTGTTATTCGGTGGGCAAGTGGAAGAAAATGGGAGGGGTGGGTGTTGATTTGCTCGGCCGCAGAAAGCAGGGAAGGGCTAGCAGCGGCGGGGGAAAATGGGAGTTGGAGGTGGCGGCGGGTGAAAGTGGGAGGTGGAGGTGGTCGCAGGGATGGGTGGGTGGTAGGGTTGAAAATGGAATGGGGGGATTAAGTGGGCTCCAAATTAATTTACTTGTTTTTCCATGTTTTTTTCATTTTAACATAAAAAAATTATGTGCAAATGATGTGGCAGCCATGTTAGTGCCACCTCAGCACTGAATACTGAGTAACTGACGGAATAAATGTTTGACCGTCAGTTTTAACGGTCAACATAATTTCCGGGCCAAATTTGTCTAATAATTTCAAAAGTAGGCCATAAATGTCTTATTTGAAAAATGAGGCCAAAACTGTCACTAACGCTAAACTTCGGGCCAAACTAGGGTATTAACCCAAATTAAAAAGCATTCTTATCTCTTTCATCGGATATAACTCCATTCAAAGTCAATTCACTAAATCTGATTATGCACAAATAAACAACTAAGAGTTGTACATCCTACCCAATACCCATACCTCACCACACCATTAAGTTTGAGGAGGGAAAAGGTCAAAACACTAAACAACGTCAATTTTAGTTTGGAAATTTTCTGAAAAAAAATAAAATAACTATGAAGAATTAAAAATATATAATATAGAAATGGCTAATTTTCTTTTCCTATTACATCTACCACCGTTGGATACTAATATAGAAAAAGCATTTTGCAGCCCAGGAAACGAACAAGAGACATATGAACAAACAACCTATGCTATGTGAAAAAGCTAAGCCATTTCTACCTTCAATTTGTGTCTGATGTAGGCATGAATCCACAACCCTTCCCTCTCTCGTCAAGCTATACCCACGCTTGGAAGTTGGAACAGACTATGTTCAACATTTGTGGATAACTGAACATAAAAGGGAATATAACTGTAACATCAAAACATGGATTGTGATGTTAGATTTGCGAAATTGTTGGCCTTTATGCACATATGTGATTTCTTTCTTTCTTTCTTTCTAATTGGGCATTTTACTCTTTAACTATCACTTCACTTTTCGCATATAGCTTAACATTTAGCTGATTGCTGGGTTTTTTACCCATACTTGTAAAATTGTACAGGAGATTATTGGAAGATTCAACAATAGGTTATTTTATGTTTTTTTTATGTCAACCTGTATTGAGCTTTATTAATCAGAAACTACTGTTACATCATCCAGGTGTAGCTGATCAATCACAATTATCGGTGGCCTATCTAGCCATACTACTGGTGAGTCCCAGTTCGTATTACATTTGGTCATTAGGTGTGCTGCCTCATTCATTGTCCTTCTTACCAAGCGGAGCGCCTCTTCTAATCTCATCCCAAGGGCCCTTTTGATACTCATACATATCGTTCCCATATTGGTAATAATGGCTTCTCTACCACAAAGTTTCTTAACCACTGCTAGACACTCTGTTTCGTATCTATAAAAATTACCTACCAATTTATACTTGTAGGAGATTTTTCTAGTTGAACCTCTTGTATAGTAACGTTCTACAATCCTTGCTTTTTACTCTTTAGATATAGGCTTCACTATTATCGATAAAAATGAAGTAATTAGATACTGAGTGATGAATTCTGTTTTATTTTATTTTATTTTTCTTATTAGACTTGTTATGACTTATGAGTATGTTTCTTATTATGGAATGATATGCAGATTTATTTTTGGATCTTTCTCAACAATTTGAGTTATTGATACGAATGACTTTTGATAATAGTATCTGACTCTTTGATAATAATAAAAAAGGTCATGCGTTCCAATTATCACGATCTTCCAATTAATATTAACAATCGAGTAAAACACATGCATGGTATGATGAGAGTGAGTACAAACTAAATAAAATAAAATTAATTTTTGTAACTCCCCGATTAATTTGAGTTGTTGACGTAAATCAGCTCTTTACACTAACCACGAACACATAATCAAACCCTTATTATATAAACTTGGCACAAGTCTGCTTTGTTGAAATTTTTTGAATAAGATACACTATTGTGTCAGTTGCACCCTCACCCTATAACCCATACTTTCTTTTTCCAAAGTCAATTCGAACCATACAGCTACATGGCTGCGGGACAAGGTTTTATCTAAAGTTAGAAACCCAATTTTAACCGATGTCCCTTTTCTAACTTCAACTTTTTCTAGGCATAGCCAGCCATTGATAACTTGTGCTGCTGGTTTTTTCCTAGCTGAGAAATGGCCAAGAGATAAGACTCACACAGAACATGCACTTACTTACACCCGCACTGAAGGTACAGTCGAGGTCTGGGATTAATAGGGGAAATTTGGGGCTGTTGAGCTTAATTGGAATATTCTAAAACTTCACTTGAAAATGAAAAGGAGCTGAATGGAAAGAAATGTAAAGGTCCTTAATTAATACGAAGGACCCCATCATGTGAAGGACAGGGCACTCTTGTATTAACAGACAGGACACAGTCACAGGTCCAACTTCACATTACCAAACCTCACTAGACGCGATGGTGGTATTCTTCTTTCTTACACATTTTGTTTGGATATCTCTTGTCTACTTGCCCACCCCTTTTTCACTTTGGAATCTGCACAAGAGTTTTTCTGTTTCATTCGTGTGAATGTGGTTGGTTACCCTACCAGAAAATAGGTGTTTTGTGTCGGTTATTCTATATCTTTAGTGTCGGTTATTACCGATAGTCGGAATAACCGACACAAAATTTTATGTCTCAATCCTATCCTTTTTGCTAATGAAGTTAATTACAGGTTTTGTCGCAACTTTCATGCTTGTTTTACGATTCCCGGAGTAATTGAATTGACCTAATTAATAAACCTTATCACATATGTATGAGTAGGGTTGGAAAAGTAATCCATTTTTACTTCATATCGGGCAACCAACCTTGCTCGAATGGATTTTATATGGAAAATCCAAATAACATGATTTTTTGTTTGATTTTTCTCGAACTCGATATGAGTGCACGTTTGTTCTTTTTACTATATGATGAGATCATCCGACTTTGTGCTATAAGTATGCTCTGCATCCTCCCAAATCCCAATTAACAATTTAGAGCATCCATACCACTTAACCGTTGTGTTTATATCTTAAACCCGATTTTTTGCTCATTATTTTTCACTTATCCATATACTATCTTAGAAAAAAATAATAAAAATTGGAACATATCATGAATTCAACATATGATTGTCTAGGGATGGCACGTGTGAGTATTTCCCAAATCAAATATGAGTTGGGTATACACACATCGATGTATTTTAGAACATTTCAGAATATGAGAACACGTGATCATTTTTTTTGTTTGTCGGAGATAGTTGCCAAATACGATACAAGATAGTTGTAATGGTACTGTCTAGAGAGGATGTGGAAAATGAGGCTTTTGTAGGGAGTCACTAGGACTCGAACACAAAAGAACTAAGTTGCTTTGATGACACGACATCGATCAACTACAAGATTGTTGGTTAGCAGTGGATTGGTGTAAAAGATAAATGAACGAATCCTATATAATCTTTTACAACGAACCGTCTAACTGCATTTCAGGCTATGACATTGATAAAATAGTTCATAACATTTTTAATTTCATTCTATAAACAAGTTTAGATGCATGTCAATGACGGACCATAAAATTGTACAAGAGGTGTCCCTTTACATGATATAAAATAGATATAAATTAAATATCCAAATTATTTTATTTTTACAAAGAAATATTTAACTAATACAAGTTTCAATTTCATGAGTAACATCCATGTGTCTTCATTGTCAGGACCGTCCCATAATATTTGGAGGCCCTGTTCAAAAATTCAAAATGTGGTCCTAAATATTTTTCTTTATTAATTTATTAAAAATAAAAATTATTAAATAATTAAAATACTTAAGTTCTAAAAATGATTTCAAAATGAATAAACGATCTCGCTTTCATTTTGACTAAGAAACCAAGACCAAATTCCCAACCCAAGCAGGCAGGGAGGAAAGTAAATCTGGAGGGAAGAGAAAATGGATATAGCGCAAAAATTGAATGGAGAAATGAAACTAGTCTAATTGATTGAGAGGTGGGTGAGGGCTGTCTAATGGATTGTGGAGGCCCTATTCCAAAATTGAGACGTGATCCAAATTGACTTTTAACTATAATAAAACAACATGATTATAATACCATTATTCAATTGTTATTATAGCTAAAATTATCTTAAACTCGTCATCATACGCATAATCAATCAATCATATACTAAAAATACAACCTACAATATTCGATCGGTAACTGACAGATCTAAATGGAGGCTCCTAATATTCGGAGGCACTGTACTGGAGGGCGGTCCGACACACCCTCTTGGTCGGCCATGTTCACTTTACTCAACCCTAGCAGGTTTCCTTTTAAGTGTCCCCACAAAGTCATCAATAACGAGTTGATCACTTATTCAATTCCGATACTTAAGGGTCGTTTGGAAGTTATGATTCTAAATGAAAGATTTTTTGAATTCATGTATTTTGGAGAATTCATCATTTTTTTGTTCCAAAATTTTATTCAATACATGCATTTGAGGTGGGCCCTCAAATCTCATATCACCCACAATCACTCATTTTAAATCTCAACAAAAAGATGAGATTCTTCCTTTGAGATTGTGAGCTTTAATTTGTTCCACTTTTAGCTCATAAAGTGATTTTTTTCTTCTTCTTCAAAATTTTGATTGACTACAAACAAACAAAACATTCTTCCAATCATCTAATTCTTACAATCTTTGTATTTACAATACATGTATTCATCAAATACACATATTTGAAGAATCTCAACTTCCAAACGACCTCTAGAGTTTGAAAATATTCTTCAAATACTGAAAAATTGATCATAATTTTTTGGGCTTAGAGTACATATTCCACAGAAAATGAGTTATAGTAGAACAAATAAAAATATGTTGCCAACACGGGGTTGGTGTTGGGTAGGGCTGCAAATGAGCCGAGTCGAGTCGAGTTTTGCCCCATCTTGAGCTCGGCTCGTTAATAAACGAGTCGAACTCGAGCTCAGCTCATTTATTAACGAGCCGAGTCGAGTCGAGCTCGAGCTAGCTTGTTTATTAAAATCTTAACTTTTATTTGATACTTCATTTTGTATATCATAATACATATGATTTATTTTGTTAGCTAATCTCATACTATACTTTGTTGGTATCATATAAATTTTAACTACTCCAAATCATGTTATTTCATAATATCGAAGCAATTTATGATGCATAATTTCTTTTTAAAGTAGAAAATAAGATATATTTGCTCACAAACTCAACGTGTTAAACTTATATATGGTGAGATAGATAATTTAACAACCATATGAATTGAAATCATAAGATATAGATTGATTCGTCCATAAGTTGGTAATCGAGTTGGCTCTCTAGCCACATGTCAAGACATATCATGAGCTCTAAACGAGCCAGCTCACGAGTTTAGCTCAACAAGCCACCGAGTCGAGCTAGCTCGCGAGCTTCACGAGCTGAACAAAGGTGAGCTCGTGTTCGGCTCGTTTATTAACGAGTCGAGTTTCAAACGAGTTTTTCTCGAATCGAACGCCGAGCAGCTCGGCTCATTTGCAGCCCTAGTGTTGGGTATATCGGTTTGGCAAATAGTGGGGTCATGGTCAAACCCTTATTTTCTGTAGCTTCTCCACCTGCTTTCATTGAAAGGGCAATGGAAGATGCATGTGGGAAGTGACCAAACTGCCCATTGGGAGAACATGGACCAGGTCCAGTAATAACACATATTAGGGGAAACATGGAGTACGTTTTGGGGATGACCACAATAAGTTGAGCTTCAAATTGGGTGGTACACTATTTTCTTAATAATGCAACCTCACCATCTCCCCAAATCAGAAGCTGACAGAAAAGCTTCACAGGGACGTCGTCGTTGTTCAACAGCAGAAAAGCTTCACAGGGACGTCGTCGTTGTTCAACAGCAGAAAAGCTTCAGCCAAGTTCTGCTGTATGCATCATGACGATTCATGCAGTCACTCACACAGGTAAAGAGGGAAAGATTTCAAGCACATGTAACAACACACAAGTGAAGCTCTTCATGTAGAGGAGAGAATGTCATTTCCATCCTCTCTCAATTAATCCTCTTTTTTTTTACTCGTGAAAATCTTAATTTCTTGCATATCACCGTTTCTTAAAGTTACTATTACGACGACTCATTCAAATATATGATCATCCCTCTTTAACGCGATTGGGAAACCTATGTAATGGATCGGACATTTAAAACTCCATCAAACCTCAGACTAAAGACTATATAATTGTTCAACATCTCATGGCGGATGGCAAGGCTCTTTACGCATTTGACATTACTATTTTTCATATTTAGCCAACGAGCACCCGTTCTCAACCACGTCCACCGTCCGAGTGATTCTCAGTTGCATATTCACTCTTGTATATCCTTATCTTATTCATGGCTAAATGTATTACAACTCTTTTTTGAAGAGGAGCAAGGTAGAGAGATTCGTTGTATAAAACTTTGGTCGATAAATTTGTGACAACAAAGTCTGAATCCGTTCTTTTCTCTTATTGCCTCAATCTTGTCAAAACTTCTATCAGATTCTCAACCCCCTTCTCATTGTCCTTTGGAATACTACATGTGGACAATATGCTTGACGAAGGATATAATTAGCTCATCAAGTCATCGATTTTAGTGCAAAATATCTTATAAGATCATTAACTTTAACCATGCCATGGCCTAGTACCTTTAGATCATCCTATTAACAAATTTGCAAAGGGAGAAATAAAGGCAGGAATAGGGGGTATATAAGGGAAGAGAAGGGCGAGCGACTGAGTGGAAAGAAGAGGGAGGGAGGTGGAAGTGGGGGATGGTAAGGTGTCAAATTTGGTGGCAGAAAAGCGGCAGAGACCCCCTTCCCCTGTTTTCTCTGCCTCCAGTCCAGAGAGCCTCACAGTGAAAAAACAGAGGCAGAACGTGTGCGTTAGAGAATTTTGGCATTGCTGCTGGGTTTGGGAATGAAATGGGGAGGTTTAGCCTTTCAGTAGAGAGCAGACAGTGAAGCAAAGGCAAAAGCTGCAACCAATTCTTTCAACCCCAAACATGGTAATTGCTTAGGAACACACCCTTCCTTCCCCCCACTCATTCTCCCTCCTTCCCCCCATTGTCATCTTCTTCTCCTCTGTAAAACTCTCTTTTGGGGTTTCCCCTTTTCCAGTCACCCTCTCTCTCTCTCTCTCTCTCTCTCTCTCTCTCTCTCTTTCTATATATCCATCATCGACATAATCTCTTGATTCATAAACCATAAACCCCCATCCGAAGTTTCTCTGTTGAACAAGAAGAAGAAAAAAAAGGTGCTATCTTGCACTGCCCTGCATCAGTCAAACCCCAACAGAAAGGCTGTCTAAAGAAAACTTCAGAAGTTGTTGCTGCTGGTTGCCAGTCTTCAATGGATGCAATGAACAGAAAAGGGTCATCATCATCATCGTCATCATTGTCTAGAAGAAGAAGAAGCTATATAAGCAACAGCTGCTGCAGAGGAGCATTACTCTGTTTCTGCATCAGCATCACCTTCTTCTTCTACAGTAACACTCTGTCTTCTCCTGGTACTTCCCCATCCTCCTCAACTCACAACTACTTCATTTACTCTGTTAATTGAATGTCGAAATTAAATGAGGGCACTCCTTTTATGGAAGACGATGCAAAACAGAAACGGCAGGAAATGTGACCTGTTCTCTGTTCTCATACTCTGTAACTGAAAATTTCTTCTTTCATTACTGAATGTGGGTAAAATTGCAGGCACCAGGTGCCCCTTCTCTGCTTCCCCCGATTCGTGTTTTCAGGTTAGTACTACTCTCCTCTGATTCAACCGTAATTGCTCTCTGTTACCAAAGATTGAAACTTTACTGGTGAATTACAGTGAAGTGAATTCCCTCCCCCACCAAGAAACAGTCTTGTCCTGCCTGCCGGTCAGCTCCTTTTTTGTTTTCTGTTTCTTTCCCCTCTGTCATTTTTCTCGTCTTTTCCTGGTCACCAAACAGAGGCAATTGGTACGGTCCAAAAACAACCCACTGCGCCCCTGCAACCCTACTCTGTTCACTACTATTCCCCTCGCTTGCTCTGTTTTTTTTTTTTTTTTTTGGCAATTCAATCTTTCCTCCACCGTCCGATTAGGACGAAGGCCCATCCAGTGGTCAGCGCTCCTTCCTCCTCAGGAACTGAGAGTGATGCGTAGCGCACCATCTGGCGCATGTTAGTCTGCCCCGCTTATCCACTCCACTTGTCGCCTTACCGTGACTTGTCTCAGTAACGTGCGCCACCAGTGCTCACGTTTTGACCAGAACCAAAAGAGTTGGAAAAAACAATCACATTAGTAACGGTTGTGTGAATGAACCAAATTGTACAGGAATCCACGAAGGTGGAAGACTGGACGACGTCGTTTGCTAGGAGGTTGCTGGGGGGGCCAGGGTCGTCGCCGCCGCGGTGCGCGTCGAAGTGCGGGAAGTGCACGCCGTGCAAGCCGGTGCACGTGCCGGTGCCGCCGGGGACGCCAGTGACGGCGGAGTATTACCCGGAAGCGTGGAGGTGCAAGTGCGGCAATAAGCTCTACATGCCATGACCATAATGATGATGATGATCGTCATTAGAATCATAATCAATCATCGATCCATCGTACTAATCATATACATGTTTGTCGGGATTATCGATCAATGTCGTGGATGGGATGATGATGGTGATGATGTGTCGTTATCGAAAGATCATGATGAATTTAGCTCCAACAACGTAATGTTGGGTTGTGCCTTTGTCGTAATTATTAATATACATAGAGTTTGATTAATTGGTGTTAAGTGGTGATTGCAAAAAACAAGATGCCTTATTACCTTAATTGGAAGGGTGGGCCCCTGGGCCCTGATGGCTAGGGGGTTGGTTTTAAGTACGTGAATAGCCCAAGCCCAACTCGACTGCAATGGTTAATTGGTGGTCCAGTAATGCAATGAAAGCTACCAATTCACTTTGAATGGAAAAGTTTCTAGGACCAATGTTACCTACGATGAAAAGATTAGCGATTTCACTATCCTGAGGCAAATGGGGTGGGAACGTTATTCTCGTTCAGTGATAGATGCTACGTGTAGTAGATGATGGGTTGTAGGTTTCGAAGTCCGGTATCGATATTGGGATATTTGGTATTATCGAATATACGTATTATTTCGTATTGTGATTGAATTTTTAAGTATTATTTGGTATTACATGATTGGGTTTGATATTTAACGAAATATTGGTGGATATCGAAATATAAGCTAGTACGTATTTTATCTCTCCCAACTAGGCTCTCCACTCACTGCTACGAGAACCTCAATCGCCAAAATGTCCACTTTATTATACATAAACACATCCCTCACTATTTGACAACCCAAACCAAACTTATTTCGTTACTTGTAGCATGTTTATGTGATGCTTAGACAATTAGGTGTCACATGTTTCAGTTTGTTGCTTTAATTTGCTAATGTACTTCTTAGGCCCCCCACACTTTCCCTAGTTTGTTGTTATTACACTTGTTTTTTTTTTTTTATACCTTTGATTTGCACGAGTGTTGCACCATTGTTACCAATAATCTATTTTGAGACTCGTTTGTTGAGCTGTTGGTAGAGCAGAATTATTTGTTTTACAAATTCGATGGGTAATTTTGAAGGAGTTTAATTTGGTATATACCGATACCGTACAAAATATTAGAAAATAAAATTGAGATGCCGAATTTAGTTTGGGATTGAAATTGATATTGAATTAAGAACACTATTTGGTGTTCGAGATTCGGGTATTTAATACTGGTTGGTGGAAATCTGACCCTGAATTCAGAGAACCTAAAACCCTAATATATAATTAATTAGCTCAACCAACTATTAACCCTTGTTCCGCGCGCTATTTCTCCAAACTGCAATGCATGCAAAGATCAATATGGCACATGCAACAAGAGGAGCCATCCAATCCAACCGCAACTCGATCGTCGTCATCCAAATCCAATTTATATATAAGAAAAAGGGCTATGGGTAAGTGCAAGAAACGACAGGTCAAACTTGCCAAAATTGAAGGGCTAGGCTAGCAGTCAACAAACAGCAGCAAGATTGATGGAAACCCTTTTATGATGATATGGAAACTGTACCGCCATGATCATCTATTCTAGACCCTACCCAATGTACGTACTGAGCAGTGACTAGCTAGTGAGTGAGCATTCATAATCTAAAGGAACTTACAAGGTACAATTTGTACTGGTGCTGCATGTGTTCGATCCGATCCAAACGCCATTAATGAGATACAGTAAGAGCTTCATTAATGAAGCTAGCTAGCTTAGCACACACTGGTGACCAGCCACCTCCCAGATTTCCTGGATCCTGCCTCGCCGCCTTGTCCAAGCACAAACATTGCGCATTCTGAAAACAACCGATTCGTGGTTTCCTAACTTGTTCTTCGATGGTGACATGTCACCCATTATTAAAACCAGCCCTCATCCACTTGAACGTGTCGGAAATTTTTACTTCTTTCTCGCAATATAATCTTGAGCTCACGATCTTCAAGTACTTTTGATTTTTGGAGGCTCCCACAACGAAGGCTTTGAGGCAATGAGCTGGGGCTTGACAAATACAATGTTGAAAATTTGGAGTGGTTCAAATGATCCAGCTCCTTAAGCCTCCACATCAGCAAGGCATTTAGCTAATCAGGCGTTTTTTTTTTTACATAAAATTGTCGAGACAGTGAAGGTTTGGGAGTTGCAGATCCCAGGTTCGAATCCAAGTGAGACCTGTTGGTGTTCCCGGAGGTATAAGCAGTGGCGGATCTAGAAATTTTTAACAGGGGTGTCCTCTTAAAAAAAAAATAAAAAAAAATAATTCTTAAATAAAAAATATCGAACTAGTACAAATTTTAATATAAGTCCACGACGTGTTTTTATTTTCTGAAAAAGAATAACAAATAGGCTTGGTAAATTGCTCAACAAATCTGTATATCCCACTAGACAATAGTTCACGACTGATCGCATATGGATTTCTAACCTTGTTAATGATGTAACTCAAAGTTGAGACTCTTTCAACACTTGTTGTGTAACCATAAAATCAATTCAAATTAAGGGCTAATTAAGGGTAGCCCGTAATTAGTTTAATTGTTAGATTTTGGAAATAGTTGGGGATAAGGAATAACTTTTTACTATTATGTAGTGTTTAAAATAGAACAACAAATGAGTTGCAACTTAATGGAGGACAATGTTTAAATAATATAGTATATCCTAAGTTTGAATAACACAGATTATCGCTTATTTTTTTTTAAGTATACGCAAACTACTACTGAGGATAGGATTATCGTTGTAGGGGTGTCTCGAATCACTAATTATAATTTTTTTATCCATACAAAACTATTACCGGGAGTTGAATAATCGTATTCTCAAATTTTAGGGGTGTCCCGGGACACCCCTAAACCCTCATGTATCCGCCCCTGGGTACAAGACTGCTGGGGGCGAAGCCCCATCACAAATTGGCACATGGGGCAGAAATTACTGGGTAATATAAAAATAGGAGTTGTTGTAAACTAAGAAAATCTTATTGTATTATATTATATATTCATCGAATATTTTCTTCTTTTAGTACGAACATATATATTAAAGTCGATTATTCAATTTCCACGTTATCGATCGATCGAGGCACCTGGGGCTGAGATTACTGGGTAATAAAAAAAATAGGAGTTGTTGTAAACTAGGAAAATCTTATTGTATTATATTATATATTCATCGAATATTTTCTTCTTTTAGTACGAACATATATATTAAAGTCAATTATTCAATTTCCACGTTATCGATCGATCGATCTGCAACAAAGTCACTACAGAAACCAGAATAAACTCTTTTTAATAAATCAATCGATCTTCCATCCAAGCTAAGCTAGACATGATCATGATGATCACGTACATGCTATATATTTAGCTACAAATTATGCGATACCAAATAGTACTCTTAACTCTAGTTTTATTTTCCATGTGAAATGCGAGAAAGATAATATAATTTAAGAAATCAATCAATACACAAGAAGTGTAGTAACCCAATCTATATATATATTCTCCCCCGTGACTGCAGGTCATTTTTAGCGGTGACCAGTACGACACCTGTTCTGTTCCTCGCAACCTCTTTGGTAAGGGTTCGCCGGGATATCGTGGCAGTCCTGTCTACCGTTGCAAGGAATAACACCCGGATCCAAGCTTGGATAGTGAAGCCACCCGCCGCCGGCTTCGGCTTCTTCCCCGGTCACCATTATTGCACACACGAGCGCGGCGACGATGAAAGCCGTCGCTAATTTGGTCGTCGCCATTGTTTCCGGTTGTGATAGAATTACTATACGGGCAATAGTAAGAAAAACTAATAAGATTTTCGAGTGCTGTTTTGTTTTTGGTGGCCAGTTGAAGGGGGAAATATTTATATATATATATAGATTAAACCGAAAAGAACCATAATTATTTATTAATGTGAAGAAACGTTCGACCATTATGGGTTTGCAGGTCTTATCTAGCTAGTTATATAATAACTAGTGACCAATGTGCTTAATTAGAGTATATGGTAAAAGAAACATGCTTAATTAGAGACCCACTAATAAATTATGCAGCAGTTAGTCAAAATTAGCTAGTTGTATATCTAGTTCTGTAACGTCGTTTGAGCAAGGGAGGAGAGTTTTATTGACACTCGATCGAGCTTTAATTATTGGTCAATTTGTGTTTCACGAAGATCCTCCTACACTTGTGTTTTTCATTTTCGTTGCTAGTTTTAGTTTTCGTTTTTCTTTTTTCCATGAGTGAAAATGCTAAGACGAAGGAAGGAAGGAAGAAAAACGAAATATGAGAAGTAAATAATAACAATCCGTTCAATGTGTACGATTGAGCATCAGTTCAATGTATACAATTCCAACCTTGAACATCGGTTGATATATAATTTCATGGAAACAACTATGATTCGTTCTATTAATATTATGCATTAGAGCGTTCCGCCCGTCTAGAATGAGAAGGAAATAATAAAAATCCTAACTAGAGTACCATGATATCGTAGCAACATTTATGGCATTTTAGGGTTAGAGGTTTCAACTTAGCATCTTCCTTCTTCTCATTCATCATATATAGCCATGACTACAGTCCAAAACATATGGGTTTTGGGTGGCAAAATAGATACTGTGAAAGTAGAAACCAAAACAGTTTAAACAGTCACTAATAAAATTCTCAATCTCACTCTGAAAGCGAACTTTGGTTGTTACTTTGGTGTCAACAACCAACGAAAAAGTGGAGTACTATTGAGTGAAGTGCTAGTGAACCTCGGATCTCTTTCATCTTTGGATGAGATGGCGATGCTTTAGTAAGACTATCTCCAACCCAAGCATGCAAATTTGGAGAAAGGGAGGTTTTTGGCTTTTTTCATCTCTAACCCACCAATTATTTGACTTGCAAATTTGGAGAAGTGGGCTTTGTAATCAAAGGGTCCGATTTTAGGGATTGTACGTTTGGGAAAGTAAAGCAGAAGAAGAAGAGGGAAGAAGATCGAAAATGAAGGAGAAGTTCTTCAGTGTTTTCGTTCTGATTCTCCCCTTCAGTTTGGGCCTGATCTTCTCAAGCCCACTCGAAATCTATGAGCAGAAAGCCAACGTTGAGATAGGCTTGAGAATTGGTGAGCCCAGCCGAGCAGACCAATAGAGAACACTTAGGTCTGTTTTCTTCCTTGGATCAAAATCCTTGGAAAACAGAGAATTGATATGGAAGATGAAGTACGAAAAGAAAAGTGCAGAAATCTAAAGAACACACGATATTTTTAACGTGGTTCACCCTGGTGCAATGGGCTACGTCCACACCTACGACACTATTTTTATTTTCTTTACGATCTAACTTACACATACAAAAGAAGCAAATTGAAACAAAGACTCAAAGAAAGAAATACTAGAAATAAAGTAGAATGACGAATAAGCAACCCAAATTCCAAACTCCGGAATTTGTATCAGCCACTAGCAAAGAACCTCTTCCCCTTTGCTAAACCCTTTTGTTTCGAAACCCTTTTCCGTTGTCTCACAAAAGTGCTTGAGGTAATGCGATTCAGTCCCTTTTATAGATGAGGAGGTGAAGATTTGTGTGAGTTGGAAACACCTCGTCTTTCCTTATTTGCAACGCTTGATTTATGGAGTGATTCTTGAGCTGATTATGTAATCAATCAGTTGATTGATTTTGACTTGATTTCCAAGCTTCTAGTGATGTTGATTTACTCCCAACGAGCTATTTTGTCGACTGTCTCTGATTTCCCAAATCTTTCTACAATCTCCCCTTAAATCAGAGATTGTCGATTGCCTGAAACAAAGAAGACGACGCTACCTTTCCTCTTCTCAAGGAGTTAGTTTTTAACAAATGAAATAGTTATTTCAGCAACCACATCTCTTTAAGAAGCACAATTAATCCGCATAGAGGAAAATTGAGTTTATCATAAAGAACAAGGCCGACACAGTTTTAACCGAAGCAATCATAATAAATCGAAGCAATCATAGTCTATCACAAATTAAAGCCGACAACCATAAGACTAGCTAAACAACCAAACTAAGTTAAACATCATCACTAGTGTTGTTGTTGGTGTCACTGCTCTCACTGGAACTAACACTAGTGCTGCTGTCGACTTCTTCCTTGACAGTGTCCTCGTCTCCACTGTTGTCGTCAAGAGGTTCCTCCCCTTCAATCGCAATCTCCAGAGCTTTAAGAATATCCGCAGCCACAGGGGAGAACACAGGATTGAAAGTGATAAAGGATGACAGGTTTATCTCAAGGTGAACGAGAAGGGTCGACACAAGGGGACCGAAAGGCAGGGCTTCACCTAGGACAGGTTTAGTGAATCGCAGTAGGGACCCAAAAAATAAATGAAAGTAATTCAGAGGGGTACCATGGACAGCATTCGAGATGATCCAAAGATCGAGAGGGAGAATAGTCGTAACAGAGTGATCTCTGGGAAGAAAGACTCGAACAATGGAATAGTGGAGGAGACGAAGGGGTGGGGGAAGGACAGTGACAGGTAAAGTGTTATTTGGTTCTGGAGGATGGCCAGTAATAGCAAGAAATTTCTCAGCAATGTTGAAGGCAAACAGGGGAAATTCGGACTCATCGGCTAAAGTAGCCCCATGAACAGGAATATTCAAGAGCTTGCTGAGATCATCAATATGAATAGCGAAGGCATGGCCAAAGACCAGAGAGTGAAAGGAACGAGATGACAGCCCAGGGGATTGAAGATTGGAATAGAACGGTTGAATAATTTCAGGGCAGAACGAGGTCATTAGAGGAGCATCAAGGAAAGGGGTCCAACCAAGGTTCTGAACATAGGGAGTAATATCAAGGCCAGCTTCTACTAATGCAGGGAACGGCACAAGACAGAAGGAAATCAAGGGGCGATTGATAAAAAACTGGATGTGACGATGATAGTTTGAGATGATAGGCTCAAGGAACAATGTACCCGTGTATGTGATGATGAGTACCATTATAAGATCAGACAGAGAGGGAGCAGATGGAGAGTACAAGGAATTGACCTAGTGGTGGGTATTAAATAAACACGACACACTCAATCAAGGAAACTACTAAACAAGAAGAAAACTATCACACAAAAAGAAGGTAATAAATGAAGATCAGAACAGGAAGAAAAATAAATAAATAAATAAATAAATAAATAAACTAAAAAGGAAGAACAGCTTAGCGAATGATGCTCTCGGAGAGAGCCTGATGGGAGCGAAGTCCAAGTTCATAGCACAAGAAGATGAATCGATCAGCAGGGAGAGATTTTGTAAAAATATCTGCCAGTTGAAATTCAGTAGGAATATGATGGAGAGCAACAGTTTGAGCTTGGACTAGATCCCGGATGAAATGGTATTTCACTTCTATATGTTTGGTTCTAGAATGTTGCACGGGATTTTTAGTAATGCATATTGCACTGGTGTTATCACAAAACAAAGGCATGATTAATGTTTTTATACCATAATCGGCTAGCTGATTTTTTAACCAAAGAAGCTGAGTGCATGAGCTACCAGCTGCTATATATTCTGCCTCAGCTGTGGATAAAGCCACTGCACTTTGCTTCTTACTAGACCATGAAACCAGAGAAGTTCCTACAAACTGACAACTACCAGTGGTGCTACGACGATCAGTAAGACTACCAACAAAATCAAAATCACTGTAGCCTAATAGATCAAAGCGATCGTGCCGGGGATACCATAGACCTACATCATATGTGCCTTTAATATACCTAAAATGCGCTTTAAGGCAGCTAAATGACTTTCTTTGGGTGATGATTGAAACCGAGCACATAGACAAACAGAGAAGAGGATGTCAGGTCGACTGGCAGTAAGATAGAGTAAAGAACCTATCATGCCCCTATACTGAGACTCGTTTACCGGGTTTCCTGTCTCATCCTGACAAAGCTTAGTAGTAGTAGCCATCGGTGTAGGGCTAGGATTGAGGGAGTTGAAGCCAAATTTACTAAGCATGGAGGAGATGTACTTAGATTGATTAATAAAAATACCTTCACTAGTTTGTTTTATTTGTAGACCTAGGAAGAATTGTAGCTCACCCATCATGCTCATCTCAAAAACACTTTTCATAGAAGCACATAAATCAGAACATAGTTGATCATTGGTTGATCCAAAAACAATGTCATCGACATATACTTGAACCAAAAGAAGATCACTAGAAACACGTTTAATAAACAAAGTTTTGTCTACGGATCCTTGCTCAAAGCCTTGACTTAGTAAGAACGACGTGAGTCGGTCATACCAAGCACGAGGAGCTTGCTTAAGGCCATAGAGAGCTTTATTTAGTTTAAAAACGTAGTTTGGGTGTTCATGACTTACAAAACCAGGGGGCTGGGTTACATAGACATCTTCTTCTATGATACCATTTAAGAAGGCACTCTTAACATCCATCTGATATAATTTAAATTTCATATAACTAGCAAAAGCACAGAGAAGACGGATTGATTCGAGACGAGCAACAGGTGCAAATGTCTCATCATAGTCAATCCCTTCTTCTTGTGAGTATCCTTAAGCAACTAAACGAGCTTTATTGCGGATTATTATACCTTCTTCATCAGTTTTATTCTGAAAAATCCATTTTGTTCCTAAAGGAGTCACAGTATCAAGACATGGAACTAGATCCCACACATGAAGATGTTCAAATTGAGTCAATTCTTCAATCATAGCAAAAGACCATTCATCATCTTTCAGGGCTTCCTTATAATTTCTAGGTTCATGTTGAAAAACAAAGACGTATTGGCCAGGAGTATACTTACCTCGAGTTCTGACCCCATATGTTATTTGGCCAATGACCTGACTTGTGGGATGTCATTTCTTGATGTGTGCTGGAGCTGTCAGAGTGTCTTCCGGATCCATATTGGGAGT